GTGTTTTATGGGAAAAAGATCGAGTGTCTGGGAGAGCCTTTCGTAGGAGGTTCCCCAAGCTAGCCAGCCAATTGCACTGTGGACTCTGAAGTTTGGGTTTCTTTGGAGCTGCCTTAAGGTGACCAGTTGAAAACAAAGGCACTGTGCAATGGGACATTCAAGTAATGGGTGTTTGTAACCTAAGGACATGATCAGACAGGAATGAAATATAGGGTGAGATGTTGAAAATTACCTCAAATCAGCATTGTTAGTTGGTGAATATCTGAATACTAAATTATAGTCTAAACTGAGAGAGTTCTACAGCTGTAGGGAAACTTGGTCATGTTCAAAGACTTGAAGGCTTGAGGTTTGTGTTAATAACCATTCTTGGAAGAACTGTATTTTCTCTTATCCTGCAATTAAAGCTCCAACAAAAATGCATTCTATATTTAATTTTAGCTTAGAGGCTATTGTAAATTTTCAGTGAAAATTTCTTTTTAGCAAATAATGTTAACATAGTTTTCTGTTTATTTTTAAAGAAGATTTTTTTTTTTATTGTAAAGTCAGGTTTATAGAGAGAAGGATAGAAAGAAAGATCTTCCATCCACTGGTTCACTCCCCAAGTATCCACAATGGCCAGAGCTGAGCCAGTCCAAAGCCAGAAGCCAGGAGCTTCTTCCAGGTCTCCCATGCAGGCACAGGTTCCCAAGGCTTTGGGCCACCCTCTACTGCTTTCCCAGGCCACAAGCAAAGAGCTGGATGGGAAATGGAACAACCAAATCACAAACTGGTGCCCACCCATATAGGATCCCAGCACATGCAGGGCAAGGACTTCAGCCACTAGGCTTCTATGCTGGGCCCCATACTTTTCTGTTTAAAGGAGGGACCCATATCATATTTCTTTTTGTTTAATGTTTATTAATTATTTGAAAGGCAAAGAGACAGAGGGAGATCTTGCATCCACCAATTCATTCCCCGAATGTCCACAACAGCTAAATCTGAACCACAGCAAAACCAGCCCAGATTTTCATCTAAGCTTCCAAGTGGATGGCAGAGGCAGAAGTTCCATCACCTGCCACCCAGGATGCATCCAGATGTGCAGCAGAGGTTCTGTGACTCCGTTGGCACCCTAATGTGGAATGTGAACATCCCATTGTATCACAGCATCTGCCCCTCGTATTGTGTTTCTGAATTTTTCGACTCAGCCACTTTATTGAAGCTTATTCCTACTTATAACCTTTAGTTTAGCTCTTAAAAAAAAAAGATTTATTTATTATTCAAAAACAAGAGGTACAGAGAGAAAGGGAGAGAGAGAAAAAGAGATAGTTTCTTCCATCTGCTGGCTCACTCCCCAGATGACTGCAACATCCCAAAACTTAGCTGGGAGCCCTGATTTCTTCTAGGTCCCCTTTGTGGGTGATAGGAGTCCTAACACCTGGATTATCCTCTGCTGCTTTTCCCAGGCTATGAGTAGAGAACTGGATCAAAATTAGAACCATGGAGACTCAAACTGGTGCCCATATGGAATGCTGGCATCACAGGCTTTACCCACAGTATCACAATACCAGACTCTAACCTTTGATTTTAAAAGTAGGATGAAGCTTTATATTCATGTAGGATTATAATTAGGTATTTTGTTCCTTATTGGAAATAAAATGGACTGGCATTTTTTTGTGCAGTTTATTCAGGAACCTTTGAGTTCTTTGAACTGCTATTTAATACTAAGTTTACTAGTTTACTAATGTAAACTGTACTTTTAAGTCTGTAGTTCCTGTCAATGGAGTGGTTTCCTCCAGTGTGCCCCAGCCTGCCCACTTACCATTAAGCTGGTGGCTTTACAAGCTCACACGCCCCTGCAGCACTATAGGCATTTGACTTTATAGGCAAGGACGTGACATGGCCAGGAGTCAGTACCTCCAAAGTGATACTGCAACAACTCCTCCCAGAGTCACCTTTACAAACAGCCCTGGCCACAGAGCTCCAGGAGGGAGTGCTGGAATCATGCCACTCCTCCAAGAGTCACCTTTACAAACAGCCCTGGCCACAGTGCTCCAGGAGAGAGTGCTGGAATCATGCCACGATAATTGAAGAGAACTGCCACTATTTCTGGACAGGATCTCTGTGCTTGTCCTCAGAATGCTGAGGCCTTAACTGCCTGGAGTACATCCTTTATTTTTTTCAACATATCAAAAGAGTCATCTCATGCATGCACAAAGTTAAGTGATTGCTGTCTGTGTTAAAAGTTGTGTCGCTGGGGACAGAATTCTAATTCATCCTTTCTAAAATAATTGTTATCAAAGGCATGATGATAATTTAAAGAAACACCTTTTATGTTTATGCTCTGGCTCTTTCCACAAAACATTTGAATTGGCTTGCAAAATATGGATTTAAAATAGATAAATGTTTGCATAAAAAGTCAGGGCTAGAAAATGTATGCAAGGAGCAAGACTAGCAGATAGAATGTGGAAATGGTGCCCTGGGATCTGTGAGTAAACCAAGATGGAGAAATTATGTTCCATGTGAGAAGACTGATACATCAGAGAGAACCTGGGGTGTGAGTGCAAGTCCTGAGGTCAAGCAGTAGCACTGCATTGCTTGGCATAGTGTGTAGAGTGTGATGCACTTGGTCCATGTTATCATTTCTCTAATTTTGCAGAGGTACCAACTCTGAACAGCTGTTTTCTGATGTGAGCTGGAAATGTAGGACTTACAAATAAAGTTAATCAGTGCTGTATCTTGAGTGCTTCCTGCATTTTTACCTAATCTGTAATGTCAGTTGTTCAGGAATAAGTCATTGTGTTATATCATGAGGTGATGTTGGAGGATATTGCTGGGGGAGAAGAGACAGTAATGAAAGCCGCCAACACAGGAGGGTCTTCTGCAGAATTGTTTTGAGCAGTGGTAACATACAGCTATTATGGAAGGCTGCATGTTCTGTAATTCTGATTAAATGAAACCAAACCACTATAGATATTAGAAAAGAATTGTCTTCATTTTTGGGACTAAGTGGTCCATGTCCAAACTCAGTTAATATTAAATGATTGACATTTAATAGACAGGTCCTGAAATTGCCTTAAATACTTTTTTCCCTTAAGATTTATTTCAAAGGCAAAGTTAGAGAGATTGATTGATTGATCCCATCCACTGGTTCACTTCCCAAACAGCCACAATGGCAATGACCGAGTCAGGAGCTTAGAGCTTCTTTCGGTTTCCCACATGGGTGGCACATGCACAAGGGTCTGCGCCATCTTCACCTGCTTTCCCAGGCACCTTAGCACAGAGTTGGATCAGAAGTGGGGCAGTCAGGACATGAAACGGGGCCCACATGAGATACTGACATCACAGGCAGCTGCTTAACTCTGAACCACAATGTTAGACCCTACCTTAACAACTTTCTTGGGAATGGGACTATAAGAATAAATGTTCCTAGGTAGAAGATACAAAATGACATTAAAAGCCTTATTTTTATGGTATTGGGAAATTACTGTGTTTTTAATTAAAAGTTAGTGATGGGCCCACATGAAGGATATTTGAAGTGATCCTTTATGCTATTAGTAAATCTACATTTTTTATAAATGTCAAGCAATGGTGATTTAGTCAAGCCTATAAGATTTCTCAAGCAAAGAAATTATTCCCCCCCCCCGCCCCCGCGTCTGAGTGTTAACAGAATTGCAAACGGATCTGAAATTTCAGCCCATGAAAGACTTTATGGTTCCTTGCTACCTGTTGGGCGCAACAGTGTCATAAAAGACAGTGTTAAGGCATGGGTGAACTTTGTAGCAGTTTGAAGATTGTTTCAAACTGAGCAAAGTAGAGATATTGACTTCTAAGAGGGGATACTCCTGGGTATGGGGGCAGCCACAACAACTCTCATGTGTTTCCTCACAATAAGTGCTGATGTTTGAGCAATGATGAAAAAGATTTCTGTTGATACCATGAAGACGAAAGCACAGTTGGTTTTGTTTATTTATTTATTTTTCCTATCTGGAATGATAGTGGGGAGACTGAGACCAAGTGCCTGATCCCCTTGCCAGCCTACTTACAGAACCCAGAGCTGCCAGTCTGCCTCATCCCTTCATTTTTTGATAGTATGAAATTTGTTTCTTGATACAGGAACCTTCTGTGCATGTGCCTGTTTGGCTTCAAGCTATTACTTGATAATTCAGTTGTTATTGAAAGTAATTTAACATTCAGATTCTAGGAAATATTTTCTGCTTCATGATAAAGAAGTGAGTAGTCACTTGTGAAGAGAAATTACCAAATAGAAATATACTGTAAAGGTTCCTTTTCCTACTGTTTAAAATTTTACTTTAGTTTCTAGACCTTTAATCAGCTTCACTTAAGGAAATTAGATTAATTAAAAATAGAGAGCTCCACATGCTTCAGTATGTGCTACCTCAGATAATCCTGTGCTAGCATGAGGAGTGTTCATCAATGTTAAATTATATTGCTGAAGGAGAACTGTTGTAACTTTAGTGGGTGATAAGAATTTCAGAGCCACAGATGTATGGAAAGTCTAGAAGTTCGTGTAAAATGTAAATTTGGGGGAGAAAAAAGCTATTCCTGGATTTCAAAAATGTTTCTATTGAAATGGACAACTTTTGATTCTGTTTTTCCATAAATTTTGGATGTGCTCTCATATATAATACTTAGACAATATTTTGAATGTTCCTGACCTCTTCCTTTAGCTGAGTTTTTAAAGGGTTAAGGGGTGTGTGAAAGTTGTAAAAAGTCTGTTGTGTGTTAAAATGAATCTAATTCAAAAGCCAGAATCTGTCTCTTAGGACTCCTTTAAAAATTCAGGGGTTGGGTCAGGGGAGGGAAAGAGAAAAAAGAAGAGGAAGAGGAAGAAGAAAGCCACAGCTGGTTTCTGAAGGTTTCATGGTATGTCTAGAATGAACTGGATTTTGTTTGGGCTGAGTATATTGTAAAATGCACAAATAATTGGGTCTGTCTGTAGTCATCTTACTCTCCTTTGGGGTTGATGGAAATGAAGGACCAAGTAAACGACTTTTTTTCAGGTGCAAATTCGACCATGGAACCTAAGTGACAGTGACTTTGTAATGGATGGTTCTCAGCCTTTGGACCCCAGAAAAACTATCTTTGTTGGGGGAGTTCCACGACCCCTTCGAGCTGGTGAGTGGAAATAGTAACACCACTATAACAAAACCAACCAAAAAAGTCCCCAATGCATTTAGTCTTAACTCTTTTCTAAGGTTTCCAGTCACCTTATCCAGTCTCCAAGGCTGTCATGTCATTTTCATTCACTGAGCTCATTTTTTCAAGATTGAGTGTTTTCTCCCAAATGCTGTTTTCTTAGTGTGCAAGAATGAGTTTCGTTAAATGGTTGTGTTGGGGAAAAAAAAAAAAAAAAAAAGACCTCTACTTAACCTCTACTTAGTGCTTTCCTGTATAGCCAGATATTTGAAAAATTTGTTTAGAAGTGTAATTCTTATACCAGGTAACATTGTTATATATGTCAAAAAAGAAGTGATTCCCATCAAAAGTCTGTGTAGGAACACTTAATGATGAGTCAAGTAACTGCTGGAAACTATACCACTGAGAATCAAATTGAATTCTTCCCAAGTAAAATGAGTTATTGGTTTTGTTTTGTCTTTAATGGACTTTAAGAAATTATTTATTTAGACACTTTCATTATGTTTTTTCAAAGCTTCCTTTAAAAAAAAGTTTCTTTTCCATGTTGGAATAATTGTGTTGGTGGAACTAAGTACAATCGTAATTGACTGGAACATTTAAGGTGGTATCGAACTGATGGTTTCAGTATTTAAAGCCAAGAAAAGAACTAAGCTTTTGATGCACTTAAATAATTGAATTTTTTTAAAAAGATGAAAAAAATAATGTTGCCATTGCCAGAATAATTGGGAAAGTGTACTACCTGTATGTATGTGTAAGCAAGTAGACTTAGTTCTAAAAGGAAATAAAACAAAAAGCAAAGATAACTAAAGTCCAATTGTAGAAGCAGTTATAAAATGTAGCATATGAATATTTGGCTAGCTGACTTCTTAATTCTGAAAGTTCCTCAGCATTTCTCACATTTGTCCAAATCCCAGCTCTTAATCAATACCTAAAAGATAGCTGTTGACCTACATAAAATATAAACCTAGTTGTGTTGAGAAGAACATTTAAGCCTGTCATTTACAATTATAGACGTTTTGATGCTATACTTTTTCACAAAGTCAGATATCATTGAGTCTTCTTTTCATTCTAATGGAAAACTGTGCCAAAAGAACAAAGAATCTAGAATGATGCCTCTCCTTTATCTGCTATTAAAGAGCAAACTCAAGCAAAGGCTGCCTCAAATGTGGACAGCATTATGAGATGAGGACAAATGCTTGTACTTTAGAAAACACAATGTGAGTGGAGGTGTTGAGAAATATTGACGACTTCATCTGACTGGTGTGGTGGTGGTAAGGAGTATAGACAGAGGAAAAATCCCCATCGATGCCTTTTAGATTTATGTATTTATTGAACGAGTAATAGAGAGAGGAGGAGAGATATATTTTACATTAGCTAATTCTTTTCCCAGATAGCTGCAATAGCCAGAGCTGAACCAAAACCAGCCTTCTGGCACTCCATCCAGGTCTCCTGCATGGATGGCAGGAGCCCAAGTTCTTGGCCATCATCTGCTGCTCTTCTAGGCATATCAGCAAAGTGGCACATCAGAAGCAGAGTAAGCGGAAATTTGAACTGGTGCCCATATGGATGCCAGCATTGCAGGTGGCAACCAAAGTTGCCTTGCTACAATGTTGGTTCCTTTGATATTCTCTTAACTGCTTATGCATTCTACAACTGACATACATTGCTAGTATTCTTGCTGCTGGTTTTTATTTTTTAATTAACTATAACTACAGATTAGTTTTGATGTTCTAAACCTCTCCTTTTTTCCTAGGTGGAAATTTGAAAAAAAAATCTGAAAGAAAAAAAAATTCCAATTATAAAATCACAGAATTGGCTTTAATTTTGTATGTCCATGTTTAAGTCACAGACATACCAGTTTATTATTTATTAACTAAATTCCATTTTCTATTATTCATCCTTTGTTCTTATCATTTTAATGATTTGAAAAAGTAGGGAAAAGCTGTTTAATTTTTTTAATGTAAATGCTATTAAGATCCTCTTTGCACAGGTGCTCTGTGATCATACTGACATTGCAGAAAGGGAAACAAAAGATACAAAATTATATTTTTTGGCAGTATATTTCTGCATTATGCTGTAAGTTCCAACCTTAGTCAGTAATTATTATACATAGTTATCTTGTCAGAAATGAGGATTTTGTGCTCCTTGCCAAAAGAGTTTACCTTTAATAAGTCTTAATTTAGCTCTTTTTTTAAATGAAGCTCAGTTTTTTTTGTTTTAATTTTTTGTTTTTGTTGGTAATGTGGGTAGTAAGTTAGATTACTTAATCTAATAGAAATGTTCCTCCCATAGTGACAGTTTCCTTAAGTTATCTGATTTCTAGGTGGCTAAGTAATCTATCTGATGTCTCAGCAGTTTTCTGTCTATCTCAAGTCTTCCAGATTTAAAATCATTTATCCTAGGCAAAAACAGTTTAACATCTTCAGTTTTAATCCATGTGCATAGAATTGGATTTCTTTGGAACACAACTGTGTGACCTGGTGTGTGTCTTGGAATAGAAGACTACCTTTAAAAAGGAATTCATTTCGACTTTGCTAGATGACCTTGAGTTAAATAGAGTGCAGTTATTTGAGCAATACACACTTACTGAGCATCCACTGTGCTGACTGGCACGGGGTAGGTGCATGTCAGGCCAGCCTGAGATGGCATCCCACTATCGTGTTCAATAGGGAATCCTGTGCAGAGAGGCACAGGCTTCAGAACAGAGGAAAATAAAAAATGCGTTAATAGAATCATTCAGAATTAATTGGAGGCTAAATTATGTTCTCTAACATAATGATTCTCAAATTTAATTTTGAAATACTTCATGGATTTTTATTATTTCCAAGAGATATGATAGTTATAAGTTTTTAAAAGTTTTAAAACTGTTTCAAATACTACTCACAACGATTTTGAACTAGATATGTATGGGTGACATTGTTCAACGGGAGAGATTTTAGATACCCTCATGAATTTTTCATCTTATTCTTGGCCAAAAGTCATCCTACAGTCATTCTTTTGAATCTTGTTAGTTTTTTTTTTATTTAAATTTTTATTTACTTATTAATTTGCAAAACAAAGAGACAAAGATACCAAGAGATACAAAGAACTCTGATCTGCTGGTTCATTCCCCAAATAGCCACAACATTTGGTGCTGGGCATGGTAGAAGTCAGGAGCCAGGAATTCAGTCCCTGTCTCGCATACGGTGGTGGCGATCCAAAACCAGAACTCTCCCAGCCACTGCCTCCCAGGGTGCATGTCAGCAGTAAGCTAGAGTCAGAGGTGGGCCTGGGATTTGAACTCAGGCAATGTAGATTATAGACGGCCTAAGCAGCATTTTAACCACTACACAAATGTTGCCCCTTGTGAGGTTCGTTTTCCTTTTTGTCTGATATCTCCCCACTGTAAAACAGGGAAATATTCTCAGTAAAACTTGTTCCAAAAACAGCCCTTGTCTCTTTAGAGAAATACATGAACATCCCTGGAGAAACAGGGCAGACTGTTTCAAACAGTATTGTCCTTACTGAGGTTGGGTTCCCCCTCTCATCCTTTGAGAAACCTTTTTTAAAAATTCCAATTAAGATGCCCCGTGAGGTGGCCTAGTGGCTAAGGTCCTCAGCTTGCATGCACCAGGATCTCATATGGGTGCCAGTTATAGTTTCGGCTGCCCCACTTCCCATCCAGCTCCCTGCTTGTGGCCTGGGAAAGCAGTCGAGGACCTGCATGGGAGACCCAGAAGAAGTCCTGGCTCCTGGCTTCAGATCAGCTCAGTTCCAGATGTTGCGGCCACTTGAGAAGTGAATCAGTGGACGAACGATCCCATCTACCCATTGCCTGATTGCACTTTCTCTAGCTCAAATAGTACTCATTCCTATTGCCTCTGATTCTTTCCTCCCATCACCTCCATCAGTGATGGTGGCAAGTCGAGGATGATTGGCATACAGCTACCCTGGTATTTCTCAGGCCTTGTTTTTGGTGTGTACTCTGTGACTCAGTCCACCACATGCCATCAAGGGCTGTCGGTAGTCTTACTATGCCACCATGTGGCTGAAGTTTGCATAGTCCATAGAGAATCAGAACAGAGGAAATGAGCTCTGGGGCAGGTGACAACATGCTGCCACTCTCCAGTCAAGTAATATGAACAGCACATCTTCCTGAATCTCCATACACAAATAGCCCTGTTGCATATCCCTGTATCGTTAGGACCTCCCCAGAATGGAAGCCTTTCAACCCTGAAAATATTCGTAACTTTCCAGTATCTGATTCACAGCATAGGCTTAAGAACATGTTCCACTTACTTGAGGTGTGTGAACCGTCCTTGTGAACCAACTCAGCAGTTGTACCAAACCTAGAAAGTCTGTCATCAAGTTTAATCTTTCTTTCTTTCCAAAGCTCAGACTTCTTTTGAAGTACCCTATGGCTCTTTCCCATCTATTTTTTCCCCTTCTTTTCGAAGTGAAGAAACATGGCTTCCAAATCCACAGTTTGTACAGGCTGTAAGAGAGAACGTGTTATTTCTTGTGGAAGTCCTCATTCCTACACCACCTACTTTGGCTTAGACACTGCCTGAGATTGCATTTGAACCTGAAGCAAAGGCTAGGAAGAAGACCTTTGGGGTGGCCCTGGAAGTAGCGGGGAGACTCATCTGGTTTCATCTCTGATGTACCAAGGTCGCTTTCAGATTTCTGTGAAGAATCAAGAGCAGGTGCAAGAAGCCATAATTAGAGCTCACGTGCAGCAGCAGAAGGCCAGTTATCACCAGCAGGAACAATTCGTTGGAATGCTTGTAGAGACTGTCCTTTCCCTCTCCAGTGAGACTCCATGAGGCTGTCACAGGAGCCATTAGGTAAATTAGACTCAGAGTACAGATGCTTCAACTATGGAAAGTTGTTCATGAGACGACTTGAATTGACTTAGTACTGCAAATCATCTTGTCCAAAATACAGCGTGCCCTTGGTTGTAGAGCTACCAGATTTGCCAACTCTTTTCCTCTCGTGATTGCCAAATGAATCTTGAAAAGCAGATAAAAAGAGGAAAATGAGAAGTAGTCTGCAGAGTTCTGGCTTCTTCAGGGACTGTATGCATGCTGTCACTCCATTATGAACTCTAGACTCCTTCGCCTGCATGCCCTACACCACTGCCCTCTTCCTTCCCAATTAAATATTAAGAACACGCTGCCAGGGGCTACTCTGTCCATGCCCGCCACATAGGATGGTTTGGAATGAGGATTCATTCACTGCTGCAGGCACAGTAGATTATTTTAGAACATTCTTCAGATAAGATGCATCATTTGCTCAGTGGCTCAGATTTCATTATCAGGGTTGAGATCACAAGATACAGGCAAATTCATGAATGTTTTAGTTGACTCTTGCAAGATCTTTGTGACTTTCGTGTTTTTTTCTGTTCTTTCCAAGTAGTCAGAGTGACGACCTCACTTCTCATCTCCATCTTTTTTTCAGCAGAGGACGGAAATTTACCTGGGAGTTTTCTATATTAAATGATAATGTTTATTCTAGAAAAATCCTTCAAAGCTTAGTCTCCAAAAGTACCTATACACTCTGTCATCTGTAAGTGAATGCATACCTTTGATATTAAAAATACAGGATTAGAAATGTATGCAACCAAAGGGAGTTTTACTCTGTTGGATGCCTATGCACTGATGGAGAAATGAAGGATTTTTTTTTTAAGATTTATTTATTTTTATTGCAAAGTTAGATATACAGAGAAGAGGAGATACAAAGAGAAAGATCTTTGTCTGATAATTCACACCAAGTGACCACAACGGCCGGAGCTATGCTGATCTGAAGCCAGGAGCCACAAACTCTTCCAGGTCTCCCATGCAGGTGCAGGGTCCCAAATCTTTGGGCCATCCTTGACTGCTTTCCCATGCCGCAAGCAGGGAGCTGGATGGGAAGTGGGGCTTCCAGGATATGAACCAGCACACATATGGGATCCCGGCATGTTCAAAGTGAGGACTTTAGCTGCTAGGCCACTGAGCCAGACCCAATAAATGAGTTTTGTAATGCTACCTCAGAGCATTAAAAGTATTGGAAAAAATACTTTTTCCTTAATGGAAAAGTGGTTACTTTTCTCAGTAATTGGAAACCCTATTTTGTTATTCAATATTTAAAAGTTCTATTTAATATTGAAGTGACATCCTTTAGGTGTTTCTGTCCACTGAGTTCAACCTGGAGGAAGTCTGTGCTTAGTGAAAAGAACAAATATGAACACCAATGATTTGACTATTGTCTGCTTTGCCTCAAAAGTGACCATATTATGAGAGCAGAGATACAGGAAATTTCATCATTCTCCTGTCATTAGTTTGGCTTATTTTGGCTTCTTAACAAATTGCACCGCATTTGAATGAGCCTTCATCCACACAAACGTTTGTACATTTGTGTGTGTGTGTGTGTGTGTCCAAGAAAATGATACTATATATTCTCGTAAGTGGAAATGATCTCTTGCTCATTCAAAACCACTCAACTGGTAGCACATTAGTCAAGCTAGACTCTTTGGCACCTGAAGGTGATTCTACAGCAGCAGAGTCACAGAGTGTTTGGGCTTGTGAAAGGTGCTTTCTCTGGTGTCAGAGGGTCTCTGATAGTCCTTTGGCATCCCCTGTAGAAGCTGTAGCTACAGAACTCCTCTCCTTAGCGAGAGCATCAAGCTTGCAGTGCTGCCTGTCTAAATCAGGTACTTTCTTGAGATTGTCCCACTGTGGCAAACAGGTGTTGCTGAATTCCTTGGCAGTATTCTTTTCCAGTTCACTCACTAGGCTTAGAGGGTGCTCCCTCTCTTAAGCCATTCCAGAGGAATCAAGGTCTTTGGAAAATTGGTATTTATTTCCAGTGCCTTGAAGGTGCTTATTTTCCTAAGCCTTTTCAACAAGTAAGGAAGATTCATTAGTGACTGCCATGCCACTAGGAAGTCTATCTCCAGTCTCTTGATCTCCATATGGGATAACGTTAGCTGTAGGTGGAGATCCCTTTACGCCATCCCAAGTTGTTGAGATGAAATGCAAGGAACCACTGAACTGATATTTGGGTTATGGACAGGCTGCTCTTTATGTTGTTCAGATGAGTGAAATTGCTTTATCCTGCCCCAGAACCAAAGCCAGAAACTGCTTGACGGGCAGTGCTGTCTCGGCTGGTATGACTCAAAAGTCGTAACCATATTGGGATATATTTGGAACGGCTTGCCTCTGCTCTGTCCTTAATAGTGTGGGTTGTTATTGCTAGCTATTTTCTCAGCTTTTGAAAATTACCTGTTGATTGCAGGCCTTTCTTATTTAAAATAGGCACTTAGGAGACAATCACCAAGGTTGTCTAATATGAGAAAAAGTTTTGAAGAGGTAGAAAAACAGCCCTTCTGACATGATGGCGTGGTTTTTCTTACTGCCTCTGTAATTTCCCATTAGAGAAGCTGGTGCTACTTGGCTTTTCTTCTGAAATCTGCTGTGGTACTTGCACCATTCAGCCCTTGGATCTGATGCAAAACTCTTGCCTACCCACCCCCTCACGAGGCAGTGCTGCTCACCTTCCCCTGAATCCTGGTTCCTGTTGAGCTCTCCTGCGTGCTGGTTAGTGCAGCTCGGCTGTGGTTGAGGTCATCTGTCCTTCCAGATGTTTGCGTTATGTGGGTGTTAGAGGGAAATGGTTTTTTAGGATCGCTCCACAGAAGCAGCAGGGGATCTTTTGGATTTAACACTGTATGTTTGACTTAAAAGAACTGGTCATACCTGAAGGAGGTGCTGTCCAGTGCCACGTAAACAAATACTTTCAGGCCGTTTGGAATGCAGGTAAGTGTTACGTCTCTCCTTAATAACCGGGAAAAGAACTAAGTGCCTACTCTGCAAGCGTTTTGTAAATATACCCGTATAAAGGCGTAGTTAGACGCAAAGTGGCGAAGTCTGCAGATCCAGTGGGCTGAGTGTGTCTTTACTGCTTTTGTGGCAGTTGGGTGCACCCTGGCACAGTGTAAGGTGCTCAATAAATGTTCATTGCTTCTGTTAGTTAAATACTTGTATTATTTAGAATTCAGTGTGAGAGGTAGTATGGAGATATCTCAGTTAAACTAGAATAAGGTCTTTAAAAATCCTCAGTTTTTTTTATATGTAGAGATTAAGGCTGTAAACAGTAATTACTATAGTTGAAATGAGGCATTCTTTCTTTCTAACAGTGTGACATTGCTAATTGGTTTCAGTTCTGGAGGTCAACAAGTTGTACTGTTATTAACATGTTAGGACGTCATGAAATGTTTTGCCTTATCCAGAGCCATTCTTGTGGACTAAGCAGTTAGGAGCTAAAACAAATAGATTATCCCTCATATTGTTACTGAGGTTCTGATTGTGTACCTCTTGCATGAATGATTGTAAAATCTTAATTTATTTTTCATATCATTTAAAAGTTTCATGAGGCGCACCCCTGATTGAGTTGTAAGACAGGTATGGACATTCTTCATAAAACTTAACATGGATTTTTTTTTTCCCTTAATTACACTGCATGATCCTCAAATAATTCTTCTTCCCTCTAGGCAAGATTACCTCCCAGAGATTTCTACATAGCTGTGTTTATTTTCTTGCAGTTGAACTGGCAATGATCATGGACCGTTTATATGGTGGTGTCTGCTATGCTGGCATCGATACAGACCCAGAGCTGAAGTACCCCAAAGGTGCTGGCCGTGTGGCGTTCTCCAATCAGCAGAGTTACATTGCAGCCATCAGCGCGCGCTTTGTGCAGCTCCAACACAATGACATTGACAAACGGGTAAGCAACTACTCAGAGTAGAATTGTGGTTCTGAGGTCCCTGGGGGGGATCTCAGAAAAAAAAAAAAAAGCACTTTGTGTCTTGAGTGAGCAGCTCTGCCTCACATGGCATTAGGCCATGTGTTCAGCTAGGCTGCCCAAGAAAGAGAACACCCTTGATATTTAAGGCGTTAATGAACCTTCTGCCTCATCCATCTCCAGGTTACCAAAATAGCCCCTACAGAATGTAACGTGCCAAGCAAGTGCTGCCCAAAAGATGATGCTCCAAAGTAGAGGGGAGGGCTACACGTTGCAGAGGTGTTGTAGCTCTGGAGTTTATCAGAAGGCAGGTGTGGGAAAGTCCTGTCTTTGCCTTCGCTGTTACTCAGTCACCCTAGATTTTCCTACACTGCAAGTCGGAAAGGGAGGGGGCTGAAGATAGCCCTGGGGCCTAATGATAATCCTGTTTTGAGGTTTGGACCCAAGGTCAGGCTTGCAGGGTAAACCCTTGGAGCTGCAGCCTGAAGGGACTGGCGTGTGACATCACTGCCTTACACAGTGTCTCCAGAATAAGCAGTGAGAGCCCCAACTGTGCAATGCAGGCTCCAGCCTCTCCAGGTTGTACAGGGGAAGATGAGAAAGGTTAAGGGGTATGCATGTTGTTCTGGTCTGGGCACTCTTGAGATCTCCTCCCAGAGCCTCAGCCTTAGAATGATCGTGTTGAAGGATTGCTCGTGGCAGTCCCACCAGAGGGCTGACGTCTGACCTTGCCGTTACCAGGCTGTGCACACAAGGGCGACTGCTCTAGCTCTCACGGCTTTGATGTGCCTTGTCTGTGAAAGGGACTTTAGTGACCTTAGTGCTTGCATCTCATGACCTTCACTGGATAATTTGAAAATAACACTCCAGTAATAGTGAAATTCTCACAGTTAGGTTTGTCAGAGGGAAATCAGTATTCTGTACTTTGCATTATTAACATATCAATATATTACATATTTTAAGAAAAATGACGCACTACATTAATGAAGGTCGAGAGCTATTGACTTAAGTTTCATTCAGCTATCAATTTTTTAAAACCTTTGCTACGTAAACACAGAGTTCTTAACTGCTGCTGCAGTTGACAGCACGTTTGGGGATCTTCCGATTCCCTTAACTGAGATTTCTCTGACTCCCTTCTCTGGTGAACTCAGGCAGTTGACCTAAACCTAAAGAATCTTGGCTTCTCATCTGGGTGGAAGCAACCTAGTTTGTTTTCCTCTGATGGCAGAACTAGTGGCCCTCAGGAAGGCAGATCCCAGAGATAAAGAAGGGAACCTGGCAAAGGGTTCCTTTCCCACAGGAGGTCATCAGAGTGGGAGCATGGGGGATTGCTGACGGTGAGGTGTAGTCCCCCAGGGCCCAGCTCCAGCTTCATGTCCTTGGCTGGCCTTGACCAAGGTGCAGACCATTTTCTTTCCACTGAGGTGTAGTAGCCACTTCCTTCCTGCATCGGCTCCCTTTTCATTATTTGTCTGTGAAGATTGACACTCTGTGCCGCCAGGCCATTACTCTGTCCTTAATCTCTTCTTGCTGTGTATATAGCCAGCAATGCCTTATTTTGTTGTCTCTAGAATTTTGAACCTCTGTTAAATGGTACCCTTCATAGGTGCGTTTTTTAGATGCAATCATTGTTTTGTTTTTATTCCTCTTTCACTCGAAGCTAAAACTTCGGATTTTTCAGAGAGTTTCCATTATAAACACACCATTATTTCCTCAGGTTTTTAGGAATGGTCTTATGGCAAAGGTTCTGAAACTGGTGTGCTAAAGTCAGGAGCTCAGGTCCATCTGTACTCACAATCTTCTTATTGCAAATTTTGATTCTTTCCTTCCTTCTTATCAGGGCTTACAGTTGTCTTGAAGCCGAGATCTTGACCATTCTAAAAAGCATCAACTTTTATTTCTCTTCTACTCAAAACCATGTCTCCTTTATTCTCTATTTCTTTATAAATAAAGATTCAGTGGAACCAGGATTTTTTTTTTTCAAAATGCCATATCTATAGATGGCCATTTGAGGGACCACTTGATTCCTGCTCCCTTGCCCTTTCACTGTTCACTCTGTGAGCATGGGATGGCACCACCTGCTGAACTGCAATGCCTGGCCAGCAGGCCAGACAGCTCAGTAAATAGAGCTTCCACATGGCAGGCCTGTTTGAAGTGAGTTCTCTGTGACTGCAGTCCTGTGTAACTGTGGGGGATACAGGAAAAAGAAATCAACCAGTGAACTTCCTTTTTTACTTCTGTGCCCAGCCAATTTTATCCAGAAAGGCATTTCTTTTAAGAGTGTTTATTGATTGATTACAGTTATTGTTGTTCTTTGACTAAGCATTTAGAGAGAGTGATTTATGAGGGAAATAGAGCCTTAGGAGACTTGACTTACGCTCGCCATCTTAGAGACATTTTAGCTTGCCCACGGAATGTAAGGTAACATGTGTCAGTATGCAGCATTTATAGAATAAATGAATCCTGCAGGTCTGGCACTTCCATTTCTGCAGTCATTTCCCTCATCCAATATATCGTGGTGAATAAGTGGTTTTTTTTTTTTCAAGATTTATTCATTTTTTTATTGGAAACGCAAATTTGCAGAGAGGAGAGATAGCAGGAAAGATCTTCTGTCCACTTATTTACTCCCCAAGTGGCTGTAATAGCCAAAGCTGAGCTGATCTGTAACCAGGAGCCCAGAGCTTCTTCCAGGTCTCCCACGCAGGTGCAGGGCCCCAAGGCTTTGGACCGTCCTTGACTGCTTTCCCAGGCCACAAGCAGGGAGCTGGAGCAGCCGGGACATGAGCTGTCATACATATGGGATCCCGATACATGCAGGGCGAGGACTTTAGCTAGTAAGCTTCTGTTCCAGGCCCATAAATGTTTTATTCGTAACAGCTTTATTAAGCTGTTCTACAGATTGGCATACTGTATAATTCACCTATTTAAAGTGTGCAACAGAATGGTTTGGCATATTTACGTCATTATGAAACCATCACCACAGTCAATTTTTTTTTTAAAGATTTATTTTTATCATTTTTTTATTGGAAAGGCGGATATACAGAGAGGAGAGACAGAGAGGAAGATCTTCCGTCCGATGATTCACTCCCCAAGTGAGCGCAACGGCCGATACTATGCCAATCCGAAACCAGGAGCCTCTTCCAGGTCTCCCACGCGGGTGCAGGGTCCCAAAGCTTTGGGCTGTCCTCAACTGTTTTCCCAGGCCACAGGCAGGGAGCTGGAAGGGAAGCGGGGTTGCTGGGATAGAACTGGCGCCCATGTGGGATCCTGGGCGTGCAAGATGAGGACCTTAACCACTGCGCCACCGCACGGGGCTTACCACAGTCAGTTTTTTAAAGGTTTGCTTTATTTTTATTTGTAAGGCAGAGTTACACACAGAAGGAGATACACAAAAAGATCTTCCATCCAATGGTTCACTCCCCAAATGGCCACAACAGCAGGAACTGAGTTGATCCAAAGCCAGGAGTCAGGAGTTTCTGCAGGATCTCCCACATGGGTGCAGGGGCCAGAGCACTTGGACCATCCTCCACTGCTTTCACAGGCCCTAAGTGGTGAGCTGGGTTGGAAGTGAAGCATCCAGTACATCAACTGGTGTCCATATGGAATGTCAGTGCTGCAGAGCCTTGGCTTACTATGCCACAGTACTGGCTCCTTCACTCAGAAGGGTTCCAATGCATAACCTTCAAGTTTGCAATGAGAGAACTGATTGCACAGGAACGGCAATGGGGAGGTGCACTGCATTTATCCTCTGTAATCACTCAGCTCATTATCGGGGCAGAATTCTACCTCTTTAACTTGTGCTCTCCAAAGTCACAAAAAACAAAGTAGCCCGAGGTTTTGAGACAAACTTGTGAACCTCATTATATCTATAATTAGGCTTCTTTTCATTGCACTGAGTTGATAAAGCTATTAGGAGTTGTATTTGGCCTTGTATTTGGCCTCCTGGTTAAGCTATCAGTGCGACATTCACATATCACATTGAGTGCCTGGGTTCAAGTCCCATCCCCAGCCTTAATCCCAGCTTCCTGCTACTGTACTCTGGGAGGCAACAGTGATGGTCCAAGAGGTTGGATCCCTGTCATGTGTAAGAACTCCTGGGTGGAATTTCTAGCTCCTGATCTGACTTAACCTGTTTCCCAAAGGTTGTAGCTGTTTAGAAAATGAACTGGTAGATAGAAACCCTCTCTGTCTCTCAAATAAGTAAATAAACAAGTGTTAATTTTTGAACACACAGAGATTTTTACTATGGGATGTGTATGACTAATAAAGGCAGAAAGAACTTCTGTAGTTCCTTCCAGGGTTGCCCTGATCTTGACCCTACCACCTCTGCCCAAGTGCTGAATGGGAAAACATTATGGCAAACATAATGTTCTCAGTACAGTGTGGAATAAATTTATGGTGATATTTAGGAGAGCAAACACTAGTAGCTCCATGGAAGGCTGTCAAAGATGCTGGGTATCTAGAGTTGTCACTCACCTAGAGTTCCTTCCTGTTTGTCTGACCAGTTCAACTTTATTCCAGGTCATTATTTACGTAGCAAACACAGTGATGATTCAAAATCATCATTTAAAATATATCTTTTCTCTCCTTTAAACCTTTTGATGTTTACTGTCCTAAGGATTAATATAAAAAATTTTTAAATTGCCTAAATAATCCTTCATGTACTGTGTATTTCTGCCTTAACTCTTTATTTTCTCCTCCTCATCTTGAGCCAGCCAAAATTCGCATTTTTCTCTGCTCCTCATGATTGTTACACATAGTGTTGTGTGGCTAATAACCACTTTCACTTCAGGTGTCAGCTTAATTGTGATTTTTTTTTCTTAAGATCTACTTACTCACTTCAAGGGGAGAGACAATCGTGCATCTGCTTGCTTACTCCCCAAAATGGCTGCAAGAGTGGGTATGGGCATGGCCAGATGTGGGAGTCTGGAGCTCCATCTGGGTTTCCAGTGTGAGTGGCAGGCGCCCATATACTTGGACCA